AGATCATTTCCTTTTAATTCTAATGATCTTTTATCCGAGAAAAAGGAGCCATTCATGGCTAACGGATTCAAAATGTTTTCTTAGCCGATTGTCCTTCGGGAGCAAGAAGGAAGGACCCGTCAGGTCGCTGTTGTGTATTTCCTTTCGAGTATGATCAATGTGGGAAATCTATGGAGACTACTTGATGCGCGAATCCAGACTAAAACAGTATCGATCACATCTAAGACGTTTTGTCAATCAGTCACTACCAACCAGTTCATAACTGCACTCATGTTGCAACTCCTTGAATCAATTTTTAGATGTGCTACCTCAACCGTCTGCGACATTTTTGTAACAAGTTTTTATAACCAGTGTTATAGATGGAAATCACGAAAAGGACTCACGCATAATGCTGCCCTCACTAGTTCATGTGCAAATATGTAATGTAACCCTATAACCCTTAACTTCAAAACTTGGTGCAAGTAGATTATGCCCTTTCTATCTTGAAGATTTCGTGAATGATATTTAAAACCGATTATCCGAAAAAAAAGCTATGAATGATGCACTGAATTAGAATGTTTCCTCAGCCGATTGTCCTCCGGGAGCAAGAACAAAGGACCGGTCTGGTCGCTGTTGTGTATTCCCTTTCAAGTATGAAGGCCGTACCTACAACTCCTGTACAAAGAGTGGCTCTTTTATTGGAAGGTGGTGCTCATTCGAGGCTGTCTTCAAACGTGACTGGGCTTATTGCGGTAAGAATAAATGTAATTTTTCATGAGATATACATATAAATATTTTCCTCTTTCCCTTTTTTTTAGTCTCAATAACTTCATGACAAAAAATTTGCAACAAGTAAGTCATTAGATGATTTCCTTCAACTGCGGCTGTATGTTGCCAGCTTTTATAGAATAAGTAAGCTAAGTAAAAACATTTCTATGCAAGGATTGCAATTTTTTCTCGTTGTCTTGACCTGTAGATGATGATCCGTATGAAGGATATCGTAAGACCGACAAGGCTTTCATTTACTCGCTTGAAAAAAAGAAGGACTGGCGCCGTTCAAAAGTATGGTGAAGCGTGGTTCCCAGGCGATCTATATGGGGATAGGCTATGGTCCAACATTTGGCGGTGGTCACGATATACATATTGCTAACAACGCAGGTCATAATGCTCATTCGTACACCAACTTTGGTCACTCTTTCTTGGCTCCAAGTGAAGTAAAGGAAAAGGTTACAGTGTTAACTGGAACCTACTATTTTACTCCCGATGAAGTAGAGGTGTTTTATCTCCCTTAGACCTGAAAATACAACTGCAGGTCTATTTCTGTTTCTAAGCCAGGTATTTCGAACTTACACTGTCTCTGCCCACTGAAGAATGTTAATTTTTTTGTAACAGCAACTGCAAGCCGAAATGCTGAGCTGTGATAAGTAGCGATGGATTAACATCCCGTCCACGAAAAGGGTGTAGGCGTGTAATATGCAAGGGTGTACATGCTGTGGTTGCCGTAACCAGGATAAACTCCGAGGTTATAGGTTACTCAGGCCCGATTCATGTGCATACTTTTGATTATGCCTAGCGGGCACTGTTATTAGAGTTGTAATTGAAGATTCGCTGCTCTGTTGTTGATATTATTATTACTGCATGCCTTAAAGTGAGATCGGTGGTTTGAACTTTTTATTAAGTTTTTATGTCTGATCAAAACCAGGTAATCCAAAAATCATTTTAACAGGGGTGAAGAACAACTTTAATAAATCTTACAGAATAATTGGCAGGGTATTATAATTTATTTTAGAGGCGTAAAACCAGGATACGTCGCATAGTCATCTTGGAATCTTAATATTACACGTTGAACAAAGTCAGATAACAATTAGAGATCTTCGCGAGATACTTTCTCGGAAAAGCAATTATATGGTAGTTACCACTCACTCTTATGACAGTGGGGGCGAAGTTTTTGTCTTTTCTTGGAGATTTTTGCTGTTTTTGTTAATTTCTTTAAAGGTTTTACATTACCCAAAATGCCAATTATTTTCAGGATATTTGCTTCTAGCTCAACACAGTTATTAGGTGTGTTATAA